GGTTAATGTCATCCAAGTTTATAAACAAGGAAACTGAGAATCAGAAAATACAGTATCTCAGCCAAAACACCCAGAAAGTAAAATGTGGACTGGCTTAGAACTCAGCTATTCTGTGTCTAAGCAAGGGTTCTTGCACACCCTGCAAAAAGACAAGCAAATAAATCTCATTTTTGTTTCCAAGGCTTAAAAAACAATATTGACCATATATCAGCAAAGATGAATCCTGTGTGTACTAAGTAGTTTTGATTATGGTGTTGTTACTAATTGGTTCCTAAATGCACTACTTTTGGCTTTATATTAAGCTTCATTTTAAATTGAATTTGCAAGAATTATCATGTGATTGATGTCCACTAACATTCTGGTGATAATGAACTCTTTGTACATTGATCTGGAATAGTGCTAACATGTTCCTTCTTCTTAGCCTATAATTTATCTTTTTAATGAATTCCTAATAGAATTTAACATTAGCTTTTCACAATATCAAAATTAAGCAGCCATGCCCTTCTTCCTTCATTTAAATAAATTTTTCAAATAAAAAATTAATAACTTTTTTGTTATAGAAAAGCAATTTGAAAATTATCCATAGAGCCAGGATTTTCACTGTTGAGAGAGAAGGTTACAATACAAGTAAGCAAGAAGAAGGAGCTATAGTGATCTGTGTGGCAACAGATTAGAGTTGAAGGCATCAGTATAAATACATATTGATATTTACTTTACTATAAACTCAGATTTAGTTCAGGATAGTCATAAAATAACTACTTGTAAAGTAAGCATGTACACAGAGTTCTACACACCCAGCTTTTAGCTGAGAGAGATTACAAGCAAAAGGATATAATGGCACCAAACACATCTAGCCCTCAGATATGTTTCTAATACTGTTCTCAAAACATCCAGGACTCCTTGGAGATATGCTGATTAAAGGAAAGGTCCTGGAAAGACACAAGATGAATACCTTGCAACACTAAAAAGTAAGTAATACTTTTTAAAAAGAGAGAAAAATACCCCAGAATAATACAGCCTGTCAAAGCAACACAGGAATCAACCAAAAGAGCTCCCCGTGGGGCTATAGTTGAAATAATTTGAGCAACAACATAGCACTGAATTATAAACCAAAGTAAAAGAAGAAATACACAAAAGGCTCTATGAATAGAATAGAATAGAATAGAATAGAATAGAATAGAATAGAATAGAATAGAATAGAATAGACAAATAGCCTGTGCAGAGTTCCAAATAACTGAGATACACTTCAGCCTCTAGGAGGAAGGGGGTGGAATCTAACTGCCCACATCTTCAGTAGAAACTGCTCACTGTAACTTCCCTCCAAAGTAACAGCATGAAAGAAAGTAAAGAATCAACCTACAATGAAGAAAGCCTGACCTAAGGAACGCTGCTTCAGGCAGGTGATCAAGTTCATAGGAACCACAGTAAGACACATGGATAGAGTATACCCCTGAGGTGATTTGATGAAAATGGTACTTCATGTTCTTCCTCCTAAAATTTCTAATCCCAGTATAATCATGAGGGAGATACCAGAAAATTCCCACTTATGGGAAATTCTGCAAAATATCTGATTAGCAGGCCTCAAAGCTGTCAAGGTAATCAAAACCTAGGGAAGTCTGAGAAACTGTCGCAGCCTGAATAGGCCTAAGGAAACATCACAACTAAATATAATGTAGTATCCTGGATGGACTCCTGGAATAAATAAAGGGCACAAAGTTGGTAAGTAGTATATGCTTATAATCCCAGTGACTCTGGAGGCTGAGACAAGAAGATTTCAAGTTCAAGGTCAGCCCCAGCACCTTAATGAGAACCTAAGCAGCTTAGCAACACCCCGTCTCAAAATAAAACATAAAAAGTTCTAGGGATGTAGCTCAGGGTAAAGGACCCCTAAATTCATCCCTAGTGAAACACACACACACACACAGAAAAGAAAAGGACATGAGATAGAAACTAAGAAAATCTGAATACATTATGAACTTCATTTCATAATAATGTATCAATATTGTTTCATTAATTATAATAAATATACCATATTAATGAATGATATTAACAGGGGAAACTGGATACAGTTATAAAAGAACTTTCTGTACCACCTGCACATTTTCTATAACTAAAACTAAAAGTGTTCTAAAACAAAAGAGTTTTTATAAATCTTTTTTATTAGATGATGGTATCATCATCTAATAATAAACAGAAACATCTTAATACAGACTTCATCTTTTTCTCTATGTATACTTTTATTTTTCATTGTAGTTTCATACTGTATATAATTTTTCACTTAACATTTAACAAATGTATTTCCATGCATTATGATTCTAAAACATAATTTGTGTTTACCTCCTAGTAGTTAATCTCAGGAACACACCATACATTATTTAGTCAATTATATTTTGGTTTCTTTGTTCTTCCCTAATTCTATTGAATTTATTGGAGGGAAGCAAGGGAAATGAAAAGAGTAATAAAAGATGACATCACTCGGACATTAGTTTATTGGCAAGATGCGAGGAGTAGGCCTATCCATTGCTACCAAAGGAAACACATGGGCTGAGAAAGAAAACACCCATGTACCATCTCAGCTTCACAAATAACTGGGTGTGACCTTGAAATCAATCTCTACAATGCCTAGTGTCCTTATTTATAAAATGGACTGAAAGGCACTGGATAATTTATTCAACAGTGTCCATTCCTAAAATTTCTTGCAGCATATTTTGTAAAAAGACAATTTCTTAGAAAATTTGATATAAAAGATATGGCCAAGTATGCTTAATGTAAATACAGAGGCTGCAGAAAATGGATAACAGATAACACTTCGTCTGGGCTGTATACCCAAAAGTTTCTGATCATGTGGCACTACTGGAACACATTTTCTGAAATTATATGAAAATCTAACAGTTGGATACAAAGGGAACATCGTATTAATGGAGAAAGACTACTGTATGAATGTTGCAAGGACACTGTGTTCATCTGAACACAAGGAGAGACGGTCTAACAATTGAGCGGGCTTCCTAGAAAAATTGCTGAGTTCTTAGATGTGGAAAATGTTGTTGCATTGGTGGATGCAGAACCGTCAAGGATATTACAAAGCTATTCCTGCACTCAGTTACAATTCAAATTGAATGGTCACCAAGGTCACTTTCAATTTTAAAAGGCTAGAAATTTTTTCTGTAATCTTATTTATGACACCATCCTTTGGACTCTTGTCCTTAAGCAGCACTCCTATTTCTGAGTTCTCTGCTGTCTCACTGATTTCTTAACTGAAGAATCAATTCCACCACAAAAAAATAAAAGGCATCGATTTAGAGGATGAGTTCTTCAGCTTGTTTGTATGCATAGATGGGTACCTTTCTAAGCATCTAATGAAAAATTGGTCCTTTTGCTCTTAAAAAAGTGCATAAAACATCTCTCCAAATTCCATCTTCTCTATGAAGTCACTCCAAAGAGAAGGGAAACTTTGAAAAGCCAATCTCCAATTCACAAACTTCTGAATTTGTCCTCAAGATTTCTTCATATTTTTTTCTACAACATAACTTGTGAATGCTCCAATAAATAAAAAATAAATAAATAAAAATTATATACACGGATACTAATGTTTGAAATTGATCTGATCTGAAGGAAAGAGTTCCTCACCTTCACACTTTAAGGTGCTCAGGGAGACATTGTGGGTGGGTTTTTTCACCCCCTCTATGGTGAAGGAGACTCATTGTTTTCCACATGGTCTATAGTGTGTTTACCTGTTTTCTACCTAGCTCTCTTTCTTGGGCAAAACTACCTGACCTGTTTGTTTCTTGAATTCCGCTCAGGAGAAAATGAATCTAAACTACATAGCTTGAAACAGTTCCAATGGTAGGGAAACTTGGGCGAGGGGCTTAAAACCAACATTAAGAACTTTCTGTTCTTAAGCCTCAAGAGTAGAGGAAGTGACTGTATAAGAAACCACATTTGCCTGTAGATCTTCACTTTGAGAAAATACACACACACACACACACGCACACGCACACACACGCACACGCACACACACTCTAAAGCACAAGACACTTCTATTGGCAAATGCCTCCTCTCTAACATCCAAAGGAAGGAAGGCATCCTGAAAGTCCCAACGCAGCACAGAGGATAAAGCGGGTCTCTGGCAGCCCCCAGCTGCAGTAGACTAGTGGAATGGTATTGAAAGAAAATCCCTTGCATGCATTGTGGGATGTTAAAATTGCAGCATCATCCTCTACTGCTCCTTTTCTTTGGCCAAAAGGCAAAATTCGAGGGCACAAGGAAACTGGTGGGGCAAGAAGGCTGCCTCCTCAAGCCCTGGAGCTCCCTCCCTCCACGCCCCACTCCTGCTTAGATTCTAATTGCCCCTGTTCCAATGGGCCAGCAGCACCTTCACCCATTTCCTCTTCCATTCACTCCAGCGGAGAAGGGAGAGGGAAAACAAAACTCTAAAAATAACTGTCAGCATCTTAAAAAAAGAAAAGCTTAGCTGCCCCCCTTCCCCATCTACTCCCGCCCTTCTCTTCTCCCTCCCCCTGCCCCCCCCCCCCACGGGGCACATGTCTGCTTCTTACAACACCGAGGCACATGGTTCCAGTTAGGCACCGAACCCCATCAGGACAGAGAGGAAATCCACATCCGTGGGACGCTCCGCACAGAACCACCTCCAGCGAGGGAGGCCGGGGGACTGCAGCACCGAGATGAAGGGCTAGACCAAGGGAACGCTGCTCATGCGGTGAGAGGCAGCGCGGGAGGCGGCGAGGGCGCGGGGAGGCCGGGGAGGGGGTGGGCCCCGCCGCGCCCCCGCAGCGCCCGCCGCCCGCCCCCACGCGCGCTGTCGATATTTGCCCGCCTTGCTGCAACTTGCTGCAGTGTTTGAAAGAGTAGTAGGAGCGCATGGAGGTGGGGCCGGGGAAAGACCAGGCGGAGCGGTTAGGGGGGTGAGCGCAGAGGGGGTGGGGAGGCGGTGGGAAGGGGGGTGGCCCCGAGGGGATGGGATGGGATGGGGGAGAGCGGGATAGCCCGGCGCTTACACGTGTCACATGTGCTTTTTAAGACGGCCGGGAGTGCCTGCGAGCTGGATCTGGTGGAGGATGCTGCGGCAGGTGCTTCGCAGAGGGCTCCAGTCGTTCTGCCACAGGCTGGGCTTGTGCGTGAGCCGGCACCCGGTCTTTTTCCTCACCGTGCCCGCAGTCCTGACCATCACCTTCGGCCTCAGCGCGCTCAACCGCTTCCAGCCCGAGGGCGACCTGGAGCGCCTGGTCGCTCCCAGCCACAGCCTGGCCAAGATCGAGCGCAGCCTGGCCAGCAGCCTTTTCCCCCTGGACCAGTCCAAAAGCCAGCTCTATTCGGACTTACACACCCCTGGGAGGTATGGTAGGGTGATCCTCCTCTCCCCACCCGGGGACAATATTTTGCTTCAGGCTGAGGGGATCCTGCAGACCCACCGAGCCGTGCTGGAAATGAAGGTGAACCACAAGGGCTATAATTATACTTTTTCCCATCTGTGTGTGTTGAGAAATCAGGATAAGAAATGCGTGCTGGATGATATTATTTCAGTGCTAGAGGATCTCAGGCAGGCTGCCGTCTCCAATAAGACAACAGCCAGGGTGCAAGTGAGGTATCCCAACACTAAATTAAAGGTATGCTCCTCCTGCATGCTTCTGCCAATTAAAGAGGCAGCACTTCATTTCTTGCCCTAAACAAGCAAAGAAAATGCAGAGGTCTCATCCTTAAGACTCAGAAGCTGATGCTTCTTTCATTTCGGGGTGGTGGTGGGGGAGATGGGTAACTGAGAGAAGAAAACAGGCAATGAATGGTACAACTAGATACTAAGAAATTCAAAGCCAAATCAAACAAATGCCAAAAAAAAAAAAAAAGAAAGAAAGAAAAAAGAACAAAAAAAGAAAAAAAAGTTTCTGAGACCCTGCAATTACATCTTTGTTCAGGGTTAATAAATCAGTGAATGGAAGGGGGAGGGGGAATCCTGATCAGTTGGGGGATTTCTTTTCATTATGGGGCTCAATGTATTTCTTATTACTGATTACACATCCACCTGGTGCCATATCCACCTGACATCTTCAGCCTGGCTTGATTTTGACATGTATGGAGTTTGTATTTTGGTGCCCTGTGAGCATGTGTCTGAGAGCAGTGGGTTATGGATATAGTAAGGCTTCCAGGAATTGTGCTGTGTGTGTATGTGTGTGTGTTTGAATAGCAAAAGAAGCAGAAAAATTCAATATATATAAAATAGGGATGTACACCTGATGACTTCATTTACCTAGTCCTGCTTTATTCCTTTCCCATGAAAAAAAAATCCAAACCAAAGCATGGTTATTAAACAGCCCTATAACAAATGGAAAGGAAAAATTCTACAATCAGCAAAAATTACAAAAAGCATTATTTCAGCATTAAATATACCGTGTTCTTTGGACTCTCAATTCAAATTTTATTGCTCACATGAGATTTCTAAACTCATTCTACACTGTCAGGACTGAGCTGCTGCAGGCAATGAGGCATGCAGTCTCCAGGTGACTGAAGTTTCAGGGACAAATGTGACTTCTAGAGGAGTCACTGCACCATTCATGTGCTTGACCCTGTGCATACTCAGAAGATGCACAATCAAGAACTCCCAAGACAGGTGTTCCCTAAGAGGAAAGAATGTGCTTTCTGCTAATGTGTATGAGGATGTGTGCATGCTTCCATGGAGAAAATGGAATAGGAAGGCCCCCCGAGCTTCAGTAAATGAACAGCCTAACATAGAAAATCATTAATATACTTACTGATTTGTTTAATATAGTTAGCTTGTGTGTACAGTTAAAAATAACTTTCTCAGGATTGTTGAGTGAAAAATATCCTCCTTTTCCTGAATAAAGGAGGGCTTAGTTAGGGATTCCTCAGGAAACCTCATAACTTGCCTCCTTTTAACATGGCATCTTGTTTGAATGGATCCAGGGGATGAGAAGGATCTCAGTTTTACAAAGCTGAGCAGCCCTTGAGGTTTAGTGAAACTTGGCAGATGATTCATTTGCTTTAAATCTAAGTAGAGGGTTTGCCTACTTCATACTTATTGATGGGAGCATGTTGGGTATGTGTGGTTGGGCAGCATGCTTTTCCTTTCCTGAATCCTTTGCCATCACCATTATTGCTTGCTAAAGAAAAGATGTGGTGGAGAGGTAATTTTCCCAGCCTATTTTAACTGAGTTCTTCCTTATGCCAGTCATCTGGAGTAAAGAACAATTTGCAACTGTGTCATATTTAAATTTCAATTTGTCTTTCCTATTGAGTCAATTTTGTAGTTTATTAATATGTGGTATTATTAGGGTCTCAATTGCCTCTATTAAGCAGTGAGAAAAGGTGAAAACAGGTGAAAAGACTGTGACCAATCGGCAACTATGGATAATTTGTTTATCTGGCAATATCATTTTGACATTTATAATACAAAACCCTTGGGGGTAGTTATTTTACTTATTTAGTGATAATTGGTTGTGCTCATATGGTTTATTACGTGCTCTTCAAGGCACATGAGAAAAACTTAGGGCAAGAAAAGCAAGCTTCTTACCTTTGGGGGTTTAAAAGTAATAGATGCCAGCATCCTCACCCAGAGTTACCTGTTAGTGGGGACTCTACAATCATTGGGTACACCACTGAGCTGACATGATACTAGGCCCATAATAGGTATTCCATATAAACTTTTTGACTGATTGTTTGCTTTATATACCTATGGATAGTAGTCAGTAGGTAATCATAAAGAAATGGAGTAATTGATTACAAAGGCTAATATAGTAATAGTATAATTACTTTATTAAACATGAAATGAACAGAAGAATTACAGAAGGATAAAAGTCCTTATTATGTTGTATTCTAATATCAGTGTTTCCTCAAATGTGTTGGTTTGACTCTGCATGCATGTCATCAGTGGGAGTCCTTAAGCTGTATTTGGGTCAATGAGCCCTTTGAGATCTTCTGAGAGCAATGGGCTCTCTCAAGACCAGACAATCTCACACATGCTCATGCAGTATATATATATAACTCCTAAGTATCATGAATGACTAGAATTCTGTCAAAGGCACTTCAAGGGCTCCCAGGATCAGAACTCACTAGCACAGAGTGAAATGAGAGGCCTTTTAGTTTTATAAGTGTTATTTGGAAATGATTTAATTCATGTGTGGCAGTGGTTGTCAAAGTGTGTCTCTGTGATGCTGATGCATGCTAAAGTCGAATAACTACACCTATAGGGCATGCGAGACAAAATTTTATAAGTACATTTTCTAGCTCTCTAACTCATTTATTTCTCTACCATCCATGGGTCACTGCTCTTCCCTACTCTGTTTAATATGGAAAATTTTAGTGCTGAAAAATTCTGTTGGTGGGCAGGGATCAGGAGTTGAGGGAAATTGTAGAATAAATATCGGTGTCCTGGATAATGTAAGAACTGAAAATCATTTGATATGATAGAAGCAGTAGGTCAGTGCTGGAAGATAGTCTGAAGATGTGTAAGCACTGATTGACAGAAAGAAGTAGTCAGACATCTGAGTTATGACAATCAGTTCATCTTCTAAGTACTGTTAAGACATACATGTAGTCCTGAGCAGAGAAAGGTTTAGAACTTCTGATAAACATGATTATATTGACAAGGTGATCCAGCCAAGCAGGGACACAGAAAGCTGTCTTCTATGGAAATCAAATAGTGACTTAGATTGGAAAAAAAAAAAAAAAAGCAGTTGGCATAGAATGCCATAGAAGAAATGAAGCACACTCAAGTTTTCCAAAGCTATAAAAAAGTATGCCAAAATCTTAAATCAGTTCACCTAATAATAGTATTCTACAAACTGCTCTTCATTATAATATTTATGTTAAATCTTTGATGAAGCCTAAGGGCCATGTCTTATATTGCTTTTGTACCATCACTTCTCCCAATCCAATCTCTTTCATGTCTATGTAGATAGTGTCAATGACAAACACTCATTACCTAGTTTATTGGTTAATTTGTGCCTATATTCTGCAATATCACAAAACTATGACTGCTTTTGAACCTCTGTGACATGCTTTTATTTTAAAGATTTCTGTACAGTGATTTTATAACCTCAATAACACACACACACACACACACACACACACACACAATAATGCAATATGGCCAGGTTGAATTTTTAAGTAAAACACTTAATATAGTGTTGAAACTAACCTCTAATATTTAAAGTGGGATAGGATATTAATGCGGAACAGGTCCTCAAGATTGGTAAACAAGGACTGTTCTAGACACAAAGAAATGTTTTATCATTCAAGGAACTCAGGTGACTATGGGTAATACTACCCTGATTTTTAGGTAGGCATCATAACCTCACTTGTCAACCTAGTTAGTTCCATGAATGTAGCATTCTCATATGTCCAGTTCTTTATAGTGAAAGGCATAAGTAAAAATGAAACGGACAAATGTGGTCCTTGGAAATGGGTTTTTTGCTAGTCTAGATTCCAACCTCCTGGCAGACAGAGAAAAAAGAATGCAGTAGATTTGACTTCCCTGAAGTCACACTTCCTATTAAATTCCACCAGTAGACACATTCCACTAGTAGATACACCTCTGAACAGATGTTTAAGGGAAGTCATTGTGTACATCAGTGTACCATGTCTGAGAATAGGAACAAAAATAGAGTCCCTGCTTCTTAATAGAAGATGTTGTTTCTTTGGGTAAATTTTGGGTGCATCCTCAGTGTTTGGAAGATATTGCAGTGAACTGTTTGTTTCTAATTTCAATAGAAAGGCAATTGGCCAACATGAAAAAATCAGGACCTGCATTATTTTTAAAGACTTCCAAGGAAAGCTACTTTGTAAATTTCTTTCCTTAATTCATTCTAAAACCCTATGAGATATAGATATTAGGACCTTCTCTGATATTTTGATTTAAGCTTATCTTTCTAATTCTACCTCTTCACAGGGGAAAACATGTGACCTTATTAAATATTCAATTTGTATTCTAAGTGGTGTTTTATATATGGTATTTCATCTAATACTTAGAATTGTGAGTCAAAGGGAATATTTGTATTCTTGTTTTATAGGTAAAGACCAAGAAGGTTAAATGATTAACATGAGGTCCCCATACCAGTACATATTGGAGGTGGGATTTAAATTCAGTTCTGTCTGATACCAAGACTTATATTCTTAACAATACATTATTAGATCCCGTCACTTCCTGCACTAATCTACGTAATTAAAACCCTTTGTACTAAGAAAGAAGTTGGGCCATACTTGTAAAGCCATTTCAAATCCATGTTAAAAGACCACTTCTGATCTTCCACCCGCTTCCCTTGCTCACTCAGAGTGATGGGCTCCTAAGGAAGATGCCATGGCATGAAGCATCTAGTTGGGACAAATTCCTACCATCTGAGGAATGTGGGACCTGCCAAAAGAGTACAGCAAATACCTCATTGGCATATGATCTCACCTTTAATATAATTTCCCATCAACT